CAGTTGATTTATTGTAGAGATGAGGTCTCGCCAAGTTGCCCAGGCGGGTCTCAAACCTGCGGGCTCAGGCAATCCACTCACCTCAGCCTCCCAAAGGCGCGGGGTTACAGGCTGAGCCACCGAGCCCGGCGTTTTGCTGAGTTTTTGTTGTTGTTTGTTTGTTTTTGAGTAAGGGTCTCACCCTGTTACCCGCACTGGAGCCTCCATCTCCTGGGCTCAGGCGATCTTTCCTCCTCAGCCTCCTGAGTAACTGGGACTACAGGAACATACCACCACTCCCAGTTACATTTTTACTCAGGCTGGAGTGCAGTGGCATACTCCTGGCCACCGCAGCCTGATCTGTTGGTTCTGCCTCAGCCTTGCAAGTAGCTGGAGCTACAGGCACGCGCCACCGCGCCCAGCTAATTTTTTGATTTATTGTAGAGACGAGGTCTCGTCAAGTTGCCCAGGCTGGTCTCAAACCCCTGGACTCAGGCAGTCCTCTCACCTCGGCCTCCCAAAGTGCTGGGATTATAGGTGTGAGCCACTGCACCCTGCCTACGTTTTTGATTTTTTTTGTAAAGACAAGGTCTCACTATGAGACCGAGGTTGGCTAAGAATTTTTTAAAAGGAGCATGTGAAAAATGGGCATAGAATGTGCCTGGCACTGTGAGTTGGAACTTGATATAGGTCTTCTCATCAGAACACTCCTGTAAAGGGTGGTTGTTTGAACGTGAAATGGAACCCTGGGTCCTATCCTTTACATTCACAATGCAGTTAAATGGATTTTTCATGGCTGATCTGTGAGTTCAATCATGTACAGGGTTGTTTGTATAGAAAAATAAATTCTGAACTCTGAACAACAGCTTAGAGAATAAACTTTTATTACCGAACTGCTTCTTAGGTTGGAGGCTGCGTGTAGTGATATAAATTCAAAACCACTTTATTTTTATCTTAGCTCTAGCTTCATATAGAATTTCCTACATATTCTGAAACATAATTGTGGTCTCTGATGAAAGAATCAATCTTCTCCTACTTCCTTTCTTCCTTTTCCCATCCTACATTTTTCTAAAGTATAGCTTAGATGTCTTACCTCAATTTAAAAAATACAATAGGATTTAAAAAAAATTTTTTTTTGAGTTGGAGTCTCACTCCGTGGCCCAGACTGGAGTGCAGTGGCCGCTCCCGGCCACCGCAGCCTCGAACTGCTGGGCTCCAGAGATCCTTCCGCCTCAGCCTTCCAAGTAGCCAGAATTACAGGCATGTGCTACCACGCCCAGCTGATTTTTTGATTTATTGTGGAGCTGAGGTCTCACTGCCCAGGCGGGTCTCGAACCCGTGGGCTCAGGCAATCCACTCACCTCAGCCTCCCAAAGGCGCGGGATTACAGGCTGAGCCACCGAACCCGGTTTACAACAGGATTTTTAAAAAAAACAAAAACAAAGATAAATTAAAGGTAGACACATTCTCACTTATATGTAGAATTCAAAATACCAAACTGACCAAGCATGCTGGCTCATGTCTGTAATCTTAGCACTTTGGGAGAATTACTTGTCTCTACAGAAAAATAAAAAAATTAGCCAGGTGTGGTAACACATGCCTGTAGTCCCAGCTACTCAGGAGGCTGAGGTGGGAGGATCACTTGAACCTAGTAGTTTAAGTCTGCAGTGAGCTGTGAGCATCCCACTGCACTCCAGCCTAAGTGACAGAGTAAGACCCTGACTCAAAAAGACCCAAACAAACAACAACATCATCAACAACAGCAACAACAAACAACAATGAAAGAATCGACCTCATAAAAGTAGAGAGTAGAACTGTGCTTACCAGAGGCTGGGGTTGGGAAACATGGAGGGGTATTGGTCAAAGGTAATAAAATTTCAGTCAGACAGAAGGAATGTGTTTTTTGAAATCCATGGCACTACAGGGTGAACGTAGTTAATAATAATGTATATTTCAAAATTGCTAAGAGAATAAATTTCAAATGTTCTTCCCACAAAAATCCTAAGTGTCCGGGCTCAGTGGCTTAGCCTGTAATCCCCGCACTTTGTTGGCCAAGGGAAGTGGACTGACTGAGCTCATGGGTTCAAGACCAGCCCGGGCAACTTGGCAAGACCTCGTCTCTACAATAAATGAAACATTAGCCCGGTGTGGTGGTGTGTGCCTATAGTTTCACTGCTTGGAAGGCTGAGGCAGGCCGATTGCCAGAGCCCAACTGGTCGACGCTAGGGTGGCCAGAGTGTACCACTGCACTCCAGCCTGGGTGACAGAGTAAGACTCCAACTCAAAAAAAAAGTTTTGAGGTAATGAATATGTTAATTAGCTTGATCTAATAATTCCACATTATATACATATATCATAACCTCACTTTGTACCTCATAAATATATGCAATTATAGTTTGTCAATTTACAGGAAATAAATTAAGGGTAGAAAAAAACTAAAAGAGGAGAAAGGGATCAGATGTGGTGGTTCACTCCTGTAACCCCAGCACTTTCTCTGTTTTTTTTTTTTTTTTTGAGTTGGAGTCTCACTCTGTTGCCCAGGCTGGAGTGCAGTGGCATGCTCACGGCCACTGCAGCCTTGATCTGATGGGCTCAGGCAATCCTTCTGCCTCAGCCTTCCAAATTGCTGGAACTATAGGCATATGTCACCATATCCGGCTAATTTTTTGATTTATTGTAAAGATGAGGTCTTGCCAAGTTGCCCAGGTTGGTCTCAAACCTCTGAACTCAGGCAATCCTCTCGCCTCAGCCTTCCAAAGCGCTGGGATTATAGGTGTGAGCCACTGCACCTGGCTAATCCCAACATTTTGGGAGGCTGAGATGGGAGG